CTTATCTCCAAGTTGGGTCCCAGGTGTGGATCCTTTGGGGGATCCCTGTGTGCGTGTGCGTGTGCACGTGGGTGTGCGCATGTGTGTAGGGGTGCCCTGGGTGCCGCTCTCATGCATGATCTAATCCAGCTCCACAGCTGGGCCCTGCAGTCCATGCAGGGTCCGTGCTTTAGGGAACTCTGGAGTGGCTGCCCACAGGATGCCACACTCCTGCACGGGGCTCTCCGAGAAACCCCTCCTGCAATGCTGCAGGGGGTGGGGGAAGTTCAGGCTGCTCCCCTGCCACCACCCACCCCCTCTGCCCTGCCTTTTCTTTCCAGTTCCCGTTTCTCCTGCTCACGGCAGCAAGTCCACTGTCTGCCTCAGGAGACACGTGGAGGGGGAACCGGCCTCCTCTTCCTGCAGCTCCCTCACCTCTAGGGGTTTTCTTCTTGGGGTACAGGTGCTTTGCTGTGAGGGGAGAGGGGAGAGATTCTAGAGCTGTCTCCTCCAGGCTGGCCACTGCTTCCCTCCCCCCGCCCCCCCGCCATGAGCTGAGTGGACAGAGCGTGGGGAGATGGGATGGCTGGGAAGGAGGCGGGGTGGGGGGGGGCACTATGAAGGTTGGACTTTGCTGCTTCTTAATCAGTCCCAAGCCCATACCTGGTCCCAAAGGTTCATTCCTTATTATTGAGAACCTACTGTGTGTCCAGCACAGTGCTGAGTGCTGGGTGCTGATTACTGGAGTGTTTGAAAGACAGCAGTCCTCATACCCAATCATTTCTCATGGGAAAGCAGATAAAAACCAATAGTATGTATGTCCGAGCTAGCCATTGGGGAGCCAGACAGAGTAGAAGGGTATGGGGGAAGGGCTGTACTCTTGAGCCAGTCACACCCACCCCATGGCAACCAAGGGGTGAAGCCAGGGGAATGGTTGTGCCTAACGTTCGCCTTTCCAAACTTGTGGCCTAGCGGACAATCCCAGGCCAGGGGCAAGTCCTGCCGACGCTGTGCGGGCACAGGGCGGTGAGGGGCAGGGCTGGCTTTCACAGTCTAGTCTGGATGCTTGTCTATTTGGTTGAATGTGTCCAGGCTCACTTCACCAGTCCTGCCCAGGCCACATCCCATCCATTCTGTGTCTCAAGAGACATCCCTGGGCCGGGCCAGCGCAGGCCCCATGGCGTCTCCAGCGGGAGGAGGCTCCCCACCCCGAGGGGGCTTTGCAGCAGGAGCTGTGGGAGCCATGCCTGCCTGCTCTGCTGGCCGCACAAGACAGGCAGCCCCCAGGCCGGGAAGCAGGCACCTCCCAGCTGGAGACCTCAGATCTGAGGGTTTGGGGTTGGGAAGGAAGCCTGGGCCACAGTGACCACTTCTCTCGCTGTGGCTCACCCAGCTGCTCCAGGCTGGAGGTGGGTGGGTGTCTGGGAGTTGGGGGCCCGCCCAGGCTGTCAGGAGACCAGGCAGTGGCTCCCGGGCTCATGTAGAGCTTCATCTGGGGGTTGGCGCCCGCACGGACCAGGGACGCTGTGAGCTTCCTGCCATGACTGCCACGCTGGGGCAGGCCCTGGGCTCCCTCCTGCCCACCCTTCTGCTGGGACTCGCAGGTGAGTTCTGAGAACTGCCCACAGGAATCCTCAGGTCAGGGAGGGAACACCTGGGGGTACCGAATCCAGCCACCTCGCGTGTGAGGGGTGGGCAGAGGGGCTGAGACCAGAGGACCTAGCTAAGCTGCGGACCTGCCTCCCAGGTGCTGTTTGCTTGCTTTCCTCAATGTGGGCCTGTGGGGAACCGATGATGGGAGCTTTGGGGTCAGAAAGAGCAAGATATGACCGGCGGGTGAGGGGCTGGGGGGCCGTCAGAGAGTGAAGGAGGAGCCCATCAGTCCCGAGCCCATACCTGGTCCCAAAGGTTCATTCCTTATTATTGAGAACCTACTGTGTGTCCAGCACAGTGCTGAGTGCTGGGTGCTGATTACTGGAGTGTTTGAAAGACAGCAGTCCTCATACCCAATCATTTCTCATGGGAAAGCAGATAAAAACCAATAGTATGTATGTCCGAGCCAGCCATTGGGGAGCCAGACAGAGTAGAAGGGTATGGGGGAGGGGGGTCAGGAGCACCAAGGGGTGAAGCCGGGGGAGTGGTTGTGCTTAATGTTCGCCTTTCCGAACCTGTGGCCTCATGGACAATCCCGGGCCAGGGCAAGTCCTGCCGACGCTGTGCGGGCACAGGGCGGTGAGGGGCAGGGCTGGCTTTCACAGTCTAGTCTGGATGCTTGTCTATTTGGTTGAATGTGTCCAGGCTCACTTCACCAGTCCTGCCCAGGCCACATCCCATCCAGGACTCGCAGGTGAGTTCTGAGAACTGCCCACAGGAATCCTCAGGTCTGGGAAGGAACACCTGGGGGGAACCGAATCCAGCCACTTCGCATCTGAGGGGTGGGCAGAGGGGCTGAGGCCAGAGGACCTAGCTGAGCTGCGGACCTGCCTCCCAGGTGCTGTTTGCTTGCTTTCCTCAATGTGGGCCTGTGGGGAACCGATGATGGGAGCTTTGGGGTCAGAAAGAGCAAGATATGACCGGCGGGTGAGGGGCTGGGGGGCCGTCAGAGAGGGAAGGAGGAGCCCACCTCCCACCAAGAGCAAGATATGACCGGCGGGTGAGGGGCTGGGGGGCCGTCAAAGAGTGAAGGAGGAGCCCACCTCCCACCCAGTTTCTCTGATGCCAGCTCTGGTCTGGGTGGCCACCTGGTCCAGGTCAGAGAGGGTGTGAGGTTGGGAAAGACAGAGGGAAAGAGGAACCCCTAAGTGATGGAGCCTCTGGCATTGTGGGAAGAGTGCTGGCCCCACAGTCAGACGCACCTGCTTAACCTCCCTGCTTCGCCACTAACAGGCTGTGTGATCTTGAGCCGTCACTAAACCTCTCTGTGCCTGTTTCTTCTGGGAAGTGAAACACTAGCATTTCTCAGTTGGGATGTGGATGACGATGAGCACAGCCATCTGAAAGTGTTTCATAAACCACAGGGCGCTGCGCGGATGGGTGATAATTATCCTGAGGGCTCACTCGGGGGAGAGAGCGCTATGCAGAAGCTACCAGAGCCCATTGCTGAGAGGACATGCTCTCTGGCCCCCGCAGCCGCCTTCCATCACCTGTCACTCCGTGTTGTCGTTACTGGTTTACTTGCGCCCTTCCACACACACCTGGCCAGGGGCCCCTGTGTCTCCAGCTGACATACTGGCTCAGAGCAGGGGCTCGGGGAATGCAGCGAAGGCTCAGAGAGGTCTGGCCCGCAGATCTCTGCAGACCATGCCGCGGGGGCGGACGAGTCTGGCCCTCAGTTGTCCTGGGATGACTCCAGGAGACAGAGCCTCGGTCAGAAGCAGAAGTGCTTTGTCATAGTCCTGCTCTGTGAGGGGGAGGAAGCTGCCTCCGGTGGAGAGAGCCGCCCATCCCCGGGGGCGAGCAAGCAGAGGGTGGACGCCACTGAGGCAGCTCCACTGTTTGCCCAGGAGATCCTGGAGGGGGAGCAGGGCCTGCCATCCTTGCCTGTGGGGATCCCTGGCTTCACACTTATGTCCAAAATGGAAACCTTGATTCCTCACCACCCCTCTCCCATTCCAACTTGGTCCAGTTTTCTCCTTCTCAAAAACTAGAACCACCACCCACCCAGATGCTCAGGAGAGAACCCGAGAATCACTTACCCATAATTCATTGTGTCTCCTCTCCCAACCAGTCCATGACCAAGTCCTGTGGGCTCTACCTTCCAGATGTACCTCCGTTTCTTAGAACCCCAGCCCGGGGAACCACCACCTCACCTGATGTCGGCAGCAGCCTCCTCGCTGGCCTCCCTGCTCCCAGTGCCACCCTCCTGCCCATTCTCCACACACACCCCGCCGTAAAACATGTTAGTGAGGCCGCCTGCCCCTCTGCTTACAATCTCCCCCGGCTTCCCATCAGAATAGGATCTTCTCATTGCACCGCTTTGCCCACGTGCTGCAGACCCCAGGCCTCTCAGTTTCTCAAGCCCGCCAAGCTCTTCCTGCCCGAGCTATTCTCACCTGCTTCCCCACTTTCTAGAATGTGATTTCCCTGCCCCAGGGCTGGCTCCTGTCCGTTACTCAGTTTCAGCTCAAAATGCCACCTCCCTGGGAATCCTTTTCTGTCTAGAATAACTCCCCCCAGCATTTTCCATCTCTGTACTCTTTGGGTTTCCCTTAGGTCATTGAGCCCCAGTTGCAATTATATATTTGCTTGTTTCCTTGTTATCATCTGTGTGTATGATCCCCTGGGGCAGGAACCACACACACAGTGCATAGTAGGTCCACAGGGCCTGAGAGCACAGGCGCCTCTGACAGGCTGTTGAGTGCTGGAGGCGTCCCGCCCTCAGCGTGCAGACAAGTGCTCTTTTTCGTAGCTGGGCAGCCGTTCATCACGCTCACGGGCCCGGCGGAGAGGGCAGCCCCTGGAAACTCGGTGCCTTTCAACTGCACCGCCGGCCCCTTCAGCTCCCAGGACATCAGTGTCACCTGGATGAAGGACTGGGATGAGCATCCAGCCTCCGCTCAGCGCCTGGTGACTGATGACAAAGGCAATTACTCCATCACCAGCAAGGTGTGGCTGACGCTGGTGCGCCAAGATGTCTCGTCAGAGATCACTTGCGAAGTCACCCACAGGGACCTGGCAGCGCCCCTGCACAGGACCATGAACCTCTCCCAAGTGCTCCGAGGTGAGTGGGCAGCAGGGCGGGGGGCATTGTTTTCCCTGGCATGTTGGTGGCCACAGTCTTCCACCTGAAGCCCCAGTTCACTCATGGGAAACGGAAGCTCCTCAGGGCCACGGCTGACCAGGCAGTGTAGCCATTAAAGGCACAGGTCCCAGAGGCTGACCATCTGGGATCAACCCTCTGCACACTTCACAGTTTGTGAGATGTTGAGGAAGCTCCTTAACCTCCTTGGGCCTCGATTTCCTCCTAGAATGGAAATAAAATGAAGACCCACCTCATAGGTTTCATGTGAGGATCAAATGACTGATTCCTCATAAAGCACCTAGAACAGTGCCTTCTAAATAGTGCCCGGCACACAGTAGGTTGTTTGTGCATGTCTATTATTATTATCTGGCTCAACTTTCCATTCCAAACATATTTATTCTATTAATATCATTGCTGTTATTAATCTTAAATATTATTCATTCGACAAAGGAATATCGATTATGATCCAGGCACTGTTCCAGGTGCTGAGCATAGAGCAATGAATAAAATTAAGTCCCTCTCCTCATGGGCATTGCGTTTGAGTACATCTGACAATTAAATTTCATGATTTGAAATATTTGAAACACAGAATGTGAGATCCCAGACACGCATGTACCCTTAGCCCATATTTAATGACTATTAAGATTTGGCTCCATTTGCCTTGCACTGAGCATACAGGGGAAAACCATTTCTTTAAAAAAATAAAGTCACTGATGAAAGAGTGAGAGAATCTGTGGCCGGTTCCTTCACAAGCGGGCCAGGCGCCCAGGTGTGATTTCAACAGATGTTTCTCCCTGTTCCTCTGCCAGTCGTTCCCACCGTGAAGATCACCGCCCAGCCCTCCGAGGCCAACACCCCCCATCATCAGAGAGTGAATCTCACTTGCCACGCCAGCCACTTCTATCCCTCCCACCTGCACCTCACCTGGATGGAGAACAGGCACACCGTCCACACCGAGCCGGCCCCCCAGGTCACCAGAAACGCAGACGGGACCTACTCGCTGGAGCACACGTGGCAGGCAGCGGCCACGCCCAACGGGAGCGAGTTTGCCTGCTGGGTGGTCCAGGACGAGCAGCCCCCGGTCCAGGCCAACATCACCCTGCGGGCTCAGGCGCCCCGGCTGCGGAAAGGTGGGTGCAGCGCCGCCCAGCGCCCTGGGCAGCATGGCTGCGGGGTCAGGGTTGACCGTGAAGGAAGGAAGGACGCCCTGCGCTGGAGATAAACCTCTCAGGCACTCCCCACTGACGTCCATCCCTCCCTCCTTCCCCCACACCCTCGTCCTGGGAGGAAGGAGTGGGACTCCCCCTCCGAGCCCCACGGCCTCTGCAGGCTGGAAGTTCTCCGCTCTAACACTGGACTGCGGGACACGCAGAGGTTTGGCTGTGGGCGCCAACGTCCCTCCTAGGGGGCCTTTTAATCAAGACTGGCTCCGCTGGAAGTTTCTGGAAGTCAGTTTTAATGAGATTAGAGAGGGTGGCTGCAGGTGCGAGATTCTCATTCTCTCTACTGCTCGGTGCGCCTTTTCTTTCTCCTTTCCCTGCCTCTCCCCGCTCCCCTTCTCATTTTCGTCCTTTCCCCCCTTCCCCTTCTCATTTTCTTCCTCCTCCCATTCCCCCTCCTCCTCTCCCTTTCCCCCTCCCATCCTAACCCTTTCTCCGCCTTATTGATCTCATCCTTGGTGGCTCAGATGACTTTGACCACAAGGGGGCGCTGCCGGCCAGCAGTTCAGACAGAGAAGGGGCGTTGCTTTCCGGGATCAAATGGAGAGGATGATAGATTCACGGAGGGACTGGGCCACGGGGAGGGAATGGAGAGAAGGGAGGATTATGATTGGCCAGGCCTGGGCCAGCCCTGGCTGAACCTGAGTGTGGACTGACCGCTCTCCAGAACCACAGAGGATGGGGAAGGACAGACTGTCCCTCTGGGAAGTGTGGGGTCTGCGCCTGGTGCACGTATTAGAGCCCAGTCCCTACCGAGAAAGCTGGACCAGGTGCGGCGGCGACACTGCGCATCTTCCAGCAGAGGCTCGGGCCTTGCGCGCCATCCCTCCCTGACAGAATTTGCCTCTATCTGCC